GAGAGAGAGAGAAGAGAAAGAGAGAGAGAGAGAGCGAACCAATACGCGATGACGCGGGCGACGAGTAAGCGAGCATATATATATAGAGAGAGAGAGAGAGAGAGATGGGCCAGGAGGAGGAGGAGGAGGAGGAACTCGGTGCAACGCAGCACCAGGGGGCACAGCCCCCCCCCCTAGCCGCCAAGGACTCGGACCGGAAGCGCAGCTCGCAGCTCCAGCCTGTGCCGCCGCCCCCGCACTCAGGCACGGGGTGGTGGGGCGGGGGGGCGGGCGGCGAAGGCGCAGGCGGGGAGGGAGGGGGGACGACGACGAAGATGGGGGGACGGGAGGGGGGGGTGGGGGCGACGGGGAGGAAGGAGGAGCGAGGATGAGGGCACTGATGAAGGAGGGGGGTGACGGAGTGAGGAGCAGGTGAGGAGGAACAAGGAGGAGGGGGAGGGATGGAACAGGAGGGGGTAGAGAGAGGAAAGAGGAGGAGTGGGAGGAGCAGGAGGAGGAGGAGCAGGAGGATAATGGGGGGCGGCCTTCTCATTTGACACGCGCGCACCGCAAGCGTGAACGCGAGAAACATGTGTCGGCGTCCTCCTCCAAGCCTAAGGCCACATCCAGCATCCCGACGGCGTCGAGGAGAAGGGTGCGCTTCCTGCCAAGCCTTCCCAAGCCAGGGTCGGCTTCGATGGCCAGGCAAGTCCTGACAGCCATTACTTCCTGCTCCCTCCTCCCTGCCCCCCCCTCCCCCCTCTCCCTCCTCCCTCCCCTTTTCTCCCCCCCCTCCCTTTCCCCCCTCGCCGCTCCCTTACTTCTCCTCCCTTTCTCGTCCCTTTCCCTCCTCTCCCTGTCCCTCTCCCTGCGCTGGCACCCTGCGCCTAGTTCCTTCCCTCGCGCTCTCCCTTCCTGCCCACCCACTCCCCCCTCATTCCTTCGCCCGCTCCCCTCGTCCCACCCACCAGAGGCCCGGGGAAGGTCCGGGAAAACGTCCCCAGACCTCGACCCTGTCGATCCTTCAGCCCTCCCCCCCTGCCATCCGTCCGAGGAGGAGAGAGAAGAGGAGAAGGAGGAGGAGGAGGAGGAAGAGGAGGAGGAGGAGGAGCGAGGCGGAGGAGGAGGAGCGAGGAGGAGGAGGAGGAGGAGGAGGAGGAGGAGGAGCGAGGAGGAGGAGGAGGAGGAGGAGGAGGAGGAGGAGGAGAAGGAGGAGGAGCGAGGAGGAGGAGGAGGAGGAGGAGGAGGAGGAAGAGGAGGAGGAGGAGGAGGAGGAGGAGGAGGAGGAGGAGGAGGAGCGAGGGGGCCCTCCCTCCTCCTGGCTCGTGGACGGGGCGAGGTGGCGATGTGGGGCGTCCCCCGAGAGACGCGCCCGAGAGAAGGCGACCGCCGGCCGCCGAGCGCGGTGGCCGACGACCGCCACGAGAAGCGGCGCAGGACGACGGGGGTCAGGAGGAGAAAAAACACACAGACACACTTAATCGTCGATTCCCCTGAAAATATTGGAAAATATGGGAAGTGGGGGGGAAGACAAAACCCCAGAAGAAAATAGAAAATATAGGGAATCCTGTTATGTGTGTTTATTTATTTGTGTGTCCCAGGGCCCCTTCAGGGGGGCGGGTGGGGCGCGGCCTCCTGCTGCCCAGCTCCCCCTCGAGGAGGAGGAGGAGGAGGTGGAGCAGGAGCAGGAGCAGGAGCAGGAGCAGGAGCAGGAGCAGGAGGGGGAAGAGGAGAGAGAAGAGGAGGAGGAGGGGGAGGAGGAGGAGGAGGGGAGGAGGAGGAGGAGGAGGAGGAGGAGGAGGAGGAGGAGGAGGAGGAGGAGGAGGAGGAGGAGGAGGAGCGAGGAGGAGCAGCGACGAGGAGGAGGAGCGAGGAGGCCCGAGCATCGATGGAGGCGCGCGGCTTGGTGACGGGCCCCGCTTCCGTGCATCGGCGGCGAGCGAGGGCGGGAAGCGAGAGGGAGCAGGCCCTCTCAGACGGCGGCGGGACTTCTCAGGAGCATCCTCGCGCCCTCTGAGAAGCTGCCTCTGTTCTCGGGGAAGGCTTAGGACACTTCCCAGAAGGCCCGGGGGACTTCCGAGCCTGCTGAGAGGGCCCTCTCCTTCTCGCCTCCCCCCGCTCGCCGCCAGGTGCAGAAGCGGCGCGGTCCGTCGCCGAGTCAGGCGGCGCTGGCCGCACGCTCCGGGTGTGCCTTTCCCGATCCGCGGACCCGGCGCCCGTGTGCGCCGGATCCACGGATCCGTGCAGTCTATGTCTGCGTGCGCCCGAGAGGAGGGCGTTCGAGGATCGAGCTCTTGGGGCGCGTTGCGGGTCCTCGGCAGGGCCTTCCTCTGGAGATATTTCCAGCGGGCTCTGGAGGCCCCTGATGAGGCTGCCGAGATCTGCGAGCTGCGTGCTCGTGCACCCCGGGCGTTGCCGCCCGGTCTGGGACCCCCCGGTCCTCACAGACCGATCTGGCTCGAGAGAAGCGTAGATTCATCGGGTCGGGGGCCCTGGCTGTGAGTTCTCACGACGCTGCAAGTGGCCTCGTGACGTCGGGTCTCGGGTGGCCCTTCAGGAAGAGGATCAAGCATGCATGCATGGGGAAGGCTTGGGCATTGTGGTAAGCCTCGGGAGGCCTACGGGGACGTCCACGGATTGAGATGCCCAGAGATGCCCTGAGAGCTCTGGAGACGTTTCTGAAGAAGGGACGAGGTAGGATAATGTATTGTTCGCCGCGAGCGTTGCCCTAGGCGTGCTCCATCCATGTAAGGGAGAGCGGCGCTGATGGAAAGGGGGCATGCCGCTTGCGCCACTGCCGAGTACCTAGTATGGTAAACGAGAAGACGCCAGCCACCAGGCTGGCTAGTAGGAAGAAGGAATGGTACCACACCCAGGACGCAAGGACCCCACCGCCACGATTGAATTCTGCAGCTGCCAATATGAAAAGCAAAGAGGCAGGCAGATAAACACACACACACACGCGCCAACCCAGCCTGGAGGCGAGAAGGAAGTAGAGTCACGAACGACGGGCTCGAGATTGTGGCTGCCAGGGCTACAGCACAAAAAAACATGTTGCAGTGCACAAAAAAAGCAGGCATCGCCAATCAACTGCAACGGCTACGAGCACCTGGGCGGAGCCGCACAGCCACGAAGGGCAACGGGCCGCAACCAGCGTGCACAGCCGTAGCCGCGGCACGAATGACGCGAGGCCAGTGAGCACGGAAGGGTTCAGGTTAAGTCGGGCCTGTCCCTCTACAGGGGGAATATTCAAAAATAGTAAAACTAGTCAGGGGACTATATGTTTGGAATATTTTCAATTTTTCACCCAAAATCCCCCTGTAGGGGGACAGGCCCGACCTAAGGCTAAGGGGGAGACCCAGCGGGAGGAGAAGGCGGATTAAGCGCCCCTTATTGGAGGACAGGTCTGGGCAAGTTGTCGAGCATGCAACTGAGGACGGGCCAATAGCAGCCGAGGCTAGAAGCAGCGCAGAGACAGGTGCATGGAACGACCAACTCGAGAGCGCACGCTCTGACCACGGACACAGTCCACGCCCAACGTAGTCAAAGCTAAATGTACAGCAAGATGAGCGATGGTGACCTGGCTGGAGCCCGACTGAGGGGGAGGCCGAATAGGGACCGCCAACGATCAGTGGACCTGGACAGACAGACCTACGGCGATGTCACGAGTCCGCAGAGAAGATGACAGCCATGCGAAATGCAAAGCCCTGTGACGAAAGAAGAGGCCCACGGCAGGTACGACGTAGTCAAGCGGCCTCTGCTCCTTGCGCGTGGAAGCTAGCAGGATATGCTTGTGATCGTCGCCCGAACCAAGCAATCCAGCCGTCGTTCTCGGGTGGGCGAGCGAAGTCTTCACGCTTTGCGTACCCCGACCATCCCAAACCCTGCGCATCACATTTAGTGAAACGGAGCGGGCAACCAGGGTGAACAGAGAGATCTCTGGGAGCACGGGGGTAGCTTCGGAGGGCCTCTTTGAGCCATACCTTGGGCCCGCTTGGGGGCGAGGGAATGAGGAAGAGACGGAGGAGGAGGAGGAGGAGGAGGAGGAGGAGTGGCCCACTCCTCCTACTCCTTCTCCTCCTCCTCCGAGGAGGAGGACAACGTGGACGAGGACAGAGCTCTCGACATCGCCTCTTGGAGTCCTCTTGAGACTGTTCCGTTGGAGTCCTCTTGATACTGTTCCTTGAGAATCGTGGAGGTCCTCTTGGGACCCTCTTGGGGCCCTCTCGGGGTCCTCTTGGGGGCCGCTTCGGAGCCCTGGAGGGCCTCCTGGCCGCATCTTGGAGGTCATCGATCGAAAGGGGGTGGGCTCGATGTCCCCCCCCCCCTGTCAGAATCGTCGAGTTCTAGAGATAGGGAGAGTCAGTGTCAAATACGAGTTTGCAGGTTATTGAGAGTTCGGGAGGCCGTGCGTAAGCGCACCGGTCTATTGCATTACCATTTGAATCCGTCTCGATCTAGAATTAACGTGCCCTATCCCCCTAAGCTTGCTCGTGCTTGTGCTATCTGTTTCAAACATGCGTTCTTGGACAGGTGTGCAGACGACACCCAGTCTGTCTGGACTGGCCGCCAGTAGGCCATTTTGGACGTGGGACCTTTAGCGAATGTAGGTTTTGGGATTTCGATTTGTGGTGGTCAGAATCACGCTGCTGAACCTCGCGCGCAGAGTGGTTTTGGCGAGGGGCCGCAGGGAAAGAAGATCCCTGCCATGAGTCGTCGTCAGTCCCTCTGGCCCGCCAATATAAAGCCCTGATACCAGATTGGGACTGCTTCTCTAACCTACCTTGTGAGGGTTAGTGGAGGTGGGCCGCCCGTGTAACATAATCACGCAAGCCCACCCACCCGCTACTACCCGTTAAACCTGAGCTCTGAAGATCGGGATCCCGATTGGGATTTCGATTTCTGCTGACGAGGTGGTCGTGCAATCTCCGGGCCATTTCAGATGCTGGTCAGAACCATGTTGCAGAATCTAGCACGCAAAGTGTTCTAGCGAAGGGGCGCAGGGAAAGAAGGTCCCTGCCATGAGGCGTCGTCATTCCCTGGCCCGCCAATTTAAAGCCCTGACACCAGATTGGGACTGCTTCTCTAACCTACCTTGTGAGGGTTAGTGGAGGTGGGCCACCCGTGTAACGTCATCGCGCAAGCACTCCGACCCGCTACTACCCGTTGCACCTGAGCTCTGTGGGATTTCGATTTCTGCTGACGAGGTGGTCGTGCAATCTCCTGGCCCTTTCAGATGCTGGTCAGAACCATGTTGCAGAATCTAGCACACAAAATGTTCTGGCGAAGGCGCGCGTGGGAGGAAGTTCTTTATAATCTGCCATCACTTGCCCCTCTGGCGCGCCAATAGAGAACCCCTGACTATAAATATATACATATTTATAATTAAGCATACATGTAAAGTTATATACATATATATATATATATATATACATTTGCATGTACGTGTTGCTATATAGCCAGGGGAAGTGCGAGATGGCCCTTGGTCTCTCGTCTGGTCCCCAGTATGGCTCCCCGTACGTCCTCCTGTACGCCTGACTTTCCCCATGGTTTCCCGTCTGGTTTTCCGTCTGACTTTTTTTTGTGTGGTCTCCTTGTACGGTCTCCCGTGCGGTCTCCCGTGTGATCTCTTGTGTGGTCTCCTGCGCTGTCTCGTGTGTGGTCCTATCGTACGGGCTCTTGTATGGTCTCGTGTATGGCCTCTCCCTCTCATGGCATCACGTCGGTATCCACGCGTGTACCTTCAGGAACTTACTCTATGTATTGCATCTCGATCCTGCAATACCTTCTACCTTACCCTCTTCAGTACCTCAGATAGCTGTCTAGGATATTCTGCCGCCAAGGGCGTAATTGTTGTCATGTCAGACGTTCTGAAGGTTTTCGGAGGTGGTTGGAGAGGGCGGGTGGGGGAGAAACGAAAATATCGAAGATGGTGAACAGGGGAGGAGAGTTGGATGAGGAAGGAAGCCGAGGAGGAGGGAGAGGACGAGAGGAGGAGGAGGAGGAGGAGGATGGAAAACAGGAGGGGTAGGAGGAGTAGGAAGAGGAAGAACACGAGGGTGCCGAAGGCTCCGAGAACGAGATCGATTCCTGCGAACCTCAGACATGGCTTGAGGAAGGTTGAGAATAAGGACGTTTCAAGGGTTACGGCGTTCCCGTGAATGCCAAGTTTTAGAGGGTATCTTGAGTGGTTGGTAAAGAGAGGATGAGGAGAAGGAGGATGAAGAAGAGGGAGGAGGGATCAGGAAAGATAGTGGAGGTAGTCAGGAGGGAGGAGTGATAATGGGGCGGTAAAAATGACGGAGCAGACTGGCGGGGAGTTCGTTCGAGTCTTGCTTTGTTAACGGAAGCGGCCTTATTCACAAAGTTGTGTCCTCCGAGATTCGTTGGTTCGTGAATTTGCCACTGGCCCTATTCATGGGCAACGTTAGTGGGAGAGGCTAAAGGGGGGGGGCGCATCGACCCCCAATCGTCCGTGCAGCACCGAGAGGGGCCCGACGCCCCGCCCCGCCCAGGAGACCGGGGATTCGCTAGCTGGGGCCTCTCGCCGATCGAGCGGCGATGCATCGCCGATCCCAGCTCGGGGTGCGACGACACGGGTATCGCAGCTGTCCTCGGTGCCGCGTCGACGGCTTATTGGCAAGATATGGGGTCGCACTTTCCGTGGCACCTCTCCGACTCCAGCCCCTCTCTTGTTCCGACTCCGGCTCGCACCTCTCCGACGTTTCCCCCCTCCAGTCTGTCCTCACCCTTTCCCTCCTCCCCCCCCCCGGCAGGACGGAGCGCGACGCGGGGGGCGACCACCGCGGATCCGGCGACCGCCACAGCGGCCGCGACGGCGGCGGCCACCGCAACGCGTTAAGCTCGGCGCCGGCCTCGCGGGCGCCGTACTACGACGACAGGCCGAGGTACGACTCCAGGAGATCCCCGCGCTTCGGCATCGTGCAGTGGATGCCCACCCCCAGCCCTGTGGCCCGTGGCCCGTGGCGTGGTGACCAAAACGTGGCGGATGTGTTTTGTCCCCATTTTCGGCCTGGGGGGGCCCTCGCGGGGCGCCGGGACTAGGGGAGCAAAAGTGGCATAAACATAAAAACTCGGAGGTCCGCGCGGACTTCTCGGATCGGCGCTGGACCCTCCTCCCTGGCGCGCGGAGCGCGCCAGGGGCGGCCCCGGAGGCGCCGCCGGGGGACCCCAGCGCCGATTCGAGAAATCCGCGCGGACCTCCGAGTTTGTTTGTTTATGTCACTTTTTGTTTCCCTAGTGGTGACAGAAAAGTGGCGGATGTGTGTTGTCCCCATTTTCGGCCCGGGGTTGCCCTCGCCGGGCGCCGGGGCCGTCAACAAACCACACGGGATGAAAAAATCCGGCCCCAGGGGATGGGTCGAGGCTTCCCGGGGTCCACGTGGCGCAGAGATCCTGACGTCGTGGGTCTGGGGCTTCAGCATAGCCTCGACGAGTACCTGACGATCGCGTAAGAACAAAACGGCAAAAACATGAACTTTCGGAGCTCAACACGGAATTCTTGGGCTGGCGCTGAGCTCTTCTGGCGGCGCCGCCGCTGGCGCGCCCCGCGCACCAGGGAGGTGGGTCCAGCGCCGATCCAAGAAATCCGCGCTGGCATTTGAAGATTCGTGTTCATACAGCTGTCACTTTTTGGGGGGGGCTGGGCCCTGGCATCTCGGCCCCGCCAGCCAGCCCTCCCCAACCACCCCAGACGGGGATAGGCACCGCGAAGCCCGAAAGGAGCAGCATACATCCCCACCTGGGAGGGGGGGGGGGCAGACCGGTCAGTGTGGCCATGGCCATGCCAGCAGGGATGGGGATCGGTTAAACGATGCTCAGTGCCGCCGTTAAAATGCAGCTTGAGGCTCGAGGTTCTGCGACCCAATGAAAATCAACGCCAAGTTGCGTAAGAGCAAATCGTTGGAGCTTCGCGAGGGGTGTCCAGAGTCGGTCCCTTCGGAAAGGTATGCTTACTCAGTTTGTTTCTCTTCTACCGGACGTTTCTAGCTGTTCCCCCCAAGCCAGTGATTGCACTTAGGGGCTCTCTGGTTTGGGACTTCTCTGGCATTGGATGGGTGTGCTTTACCAGCCTGGAACATATCCCTATCCCTATGCTGGACATCTCCTCATCACGACGCCAATCTCAGGGATCCCCTTTTTTTTTGAGGGCGCATCCCTCAGATTGTCATCGCCTTTTGGCGTGTCAATCTTAGGGACAGGGATAAGTTCGAGGCTGGTAAGTGCGAGGGTTTCGCCTCGTGCCCGGTCGGTGGGCGCCTCGCGGGCGCCTTTATGCGGGCAGGTGTGCCGAGGCTCCGCCCGGCGCCTGCCTCGTGGGCGCCCCGTGGGCGCCTCCTTGGGTGCCTCCTGCGCCTGGTGTGCGTGCCGAGGTCTCGCCCGGAACCCGCTCGCGGCCGCCTCTTGGCCGCCTCGTGGGCGCCTCGTGCGCTGCGTGTGCACGCGTACTTACCAGCCTCGAACTGATCCCTATCCCTGAGATTCAGACGCCAAAAGGCGATGACAATCTGAGGGATGCGCCCTCAAACAAAAAAGGGGATCCCTGAGATTGGCATCGTGAGGAGGAGATGCCTAGCATAGGGATAGGGATATGTTCCAGGCTGGTAGTGTACGGCACGACGGACTGCAGCAGCACTGACGTGAGCAGCATCGCGGACTCCAGCAGCACCGTCGTGAGCAGCACGACGGTCTCCAGCAGCACGATCGTGAGCAGCACGACGGACGCCGGCGGCATCTTCGTGAGCAGGGCGGCGGACTCCAGCAGAACGACCGTGAGCAGCACGACGGACTCCAACAGAGCAATGTTGGGCAGTACGTGGGACTCCAGCAGCACGACCGTCATCAGCATAACGTGCTCTAGCGGCGCCGTCGTGAGCAGCACGAAGGACTCCAGCGGCACGACCGCGAGCAGCATGACACACTCCAGACCTATCATGACGAGCAGCACGACGGTCGCAGCAGCGCGACCGTGTGTCCAGCATGACATGCCCCAGCAGCACCATCGCGAACAGCACGACGGAATCACTCAGCGCCACTAGGAGCAGCATGACGGACACCAGCAGCACCATCGTGAACAGCACGACGCACTTCAGCAGCACGACCGTGAGCAGAACGCATCTTCGCCAGGCCTTGAACAGAGCGTGCGAAAAAGGGGGAGCATCCGCGCAGGGCCTGCGTGACATCAGGCAACCAGACGAGGTCCCCGTGGTGTGCTTCAGGGTGGTCGCCGACGGCGGCTGCTGGTCCCTTCAGCGTGGACGGTCGCGCATCTCAAGAGGAAAGATGAACGGGGTCCTGGGAGTGGTCCCAGTGCTGCTGCTGGTGGCGCCACCCGCCCCCGCGGCCTCCGCTGCGCGCTGGGAGGCGCCTGCCCAGCTCCGCGGGGTCGCCTGCCCTGCTGCTCCTGCAGCCGGGCGCCTGCGCCTGGCCAGTCCTGCGGCGTGCCTGGCGTTCCTGGCGTTTCCGGCTGCGCCGGTCGGGTCGGCCGCCCTCACCTTCCCGCTCTGCGCCCCGCCGCGGGGTGCTTCCGGTCGGTTCAAGGCTGCCTCGCCCGTCTCGGCAGTGCCTCCGCCGCAGCGCAGCAGCCTGTGGCCCGCCGCAGTCGCTCAGCCGCTCAGTCGTTGCAGCTCTGCTTCTCAGCTTCTGCTTGGCAGTTCGACCGCCTTTTGCTGCACGGCCTCTCGTTGCCAACCCCTCGTCGCTGCAGCGACGCCCAGAAGGTGTCTGCCACTGCGCCATGTCGGAAAACTCGGATGTTCCCGGTCTCCCTGCCGTAGGTCCGCTTGCCATACCTCCCGTATTGCCATTACTTCTGCTGAGCTACGCTTTGCGCGCCTGCAGCCCCTGCCTCAGCCCCTGGGTGTGGCCGCGATGCCGTTCCGCGACTACTGCCAGGCTGCTCAGCACGGGCTGGCCGCATCGGCCACTCTTGTCGAAAACCTTCGCGCAGTGAGTGCCCCTCCTCTTCCTCCCAGCTCTGCGGTCACGCTCCGCCCCCTCCTGTTTTCATGCAGCCGGACAGTTTGGTCGCACGCTCCCGGCTAACTCGAGCGCGCGTGCGGATCGTCTCTGCCGCACTGTGACGGACAGAGTGTGTGTGTGTGTGTATGTGCGTGTGCGTGTGCGTGTGCGTGTGCGTGTGCGTGTGCGTGTGCGTGTGAGTGTGCGTGTGTGTGTGCGCGCGTGCGTATGTGCGTGCGTGCGTGCGTGCGTGCGCGTGCGTGCATGTGTGAGTGTGCGTGTGTGTGCGCGCCTTTGGCGGGTGGGGGGGCGGGCCAGCCGCCTCCAATTTCTTGTCCTCCCGATTACCGACGCTGCGCGCGCGGCTCCGGCCGTGCGGACACCAGACGCGCTGGCGAGTCGCAGCGCCGCTACGACCGAAAAGTGTGTGCGCGTGTGTGTGCCGAGGTTTCGCCTGTTGCCCGCCCGCGGGCCGTGGGCGCATCGCGGGCTCCTCGTGTGTTTGGGGGCCGCGTAGAGTTTCCTTTTCAATATATTCGGATCCCCCCCGGGGGTAATGGTCCCTTCTTATATGTTGCAGTTCACATACGATTTTGCCGCATCGTCCATCCGAAGTACGAATTCATACCATCCCACACAGTCCGTCCAGTGTCGGCCATCCACCTCGTCCTCTTCAACACCTGCCCCCCAAAAAGGAAGAAGTGCACAGGGGCGCGTCGTCGCGAGCGCAGGTTTCGTTAGGATGCCGTAAGGATTTCATAATCGATTGTCCCGGAAATCTATTGGAACACGTGGTTTCGCAACGAGAACGTTTGCAACAAATCTTGCGACTGCTCTTGCGAATTGTCAAGTAAATCAGATGTGTTCCAACATATTCGCAACATGTTACCACATGCGCCTCTCGCACGCGCTTGTCGAAATCGCTCGGATGCCGTAGCGCGCGCGCTGTCGCAATACTCTCTGGTAAAAAACGAGACGAAGTGCATACGCGCGCGTCGTTGCGCGCGTGAGCCGAAATCTTACACAATCCACAGGGGGTGCCAGAATTTCAAAACCGAGTGTCCCGATTATATTTAAAACACACATGATTTTGCAACACCAGTTTTCGAGGAACAACTGTTTGCGCGTGTGCTCTTGCGACTTTTTGGGGTTAAAGCCATGGCTTTATCAACACAACCATTACATTCAACCAAACGGAACTCCCGCGCTGCATGTCGAATCTACTCGAACGGCTTTGCACGCGTGCTGGGGGAGCACGACCCGCGTCAAATCTTACAGTGCCGGCCAGTCTCGCGAGCCGGTCGCGCGCGCATGCCCAAATCCGCCCCGATTTTTCCCAACGACGCGAGGACGCCGCTCCCGTCGTCGGCGTGATTCGCATCGGCGCCGTCATTGGCTTTGCCGTCGTCGTTGTCACCATCGCCACCACCATCGCTACTATCGTCACCGTGCCTACCGTGGTCGACGTTGCCACGATACCGCGCCAGTCCAAATCACCGCCTCGCAGTGAATTGCCCGCTGGGAAGTGTCCAGCGGACAGCGCCACCGCGGCCACGTCGGTCGCGCCAAGCTAGCTGGCCGTTGCGCGCGCGAGCGTGCGCGGGCTAGCGCGGCCGCAGAGATGCACCAGCCAACACCAAGCAATCATCGCAATCGCCGCCGCATGGGTTTTGCAAACCAAATTTCGGGTTGGTGGGTGGGATAGTTATGCGGGCAGCGGAGTTGACAACTTCGAGTCCGGCAAGGTGGATTGCACAACATAGGTTTAACACACGGCTCGCACGACACAGACTGCAGTACAGAGCTTGCGCCGCAGTTGCATCGCACAGCCCACATATAACCCACACCACGTTGATTGTGCCACGTAGCTTGCACCACAGCTTGCGCCGCGCAGATCGCACCACGTGGAGTGCATTGCGTAGGTTGAACCACGTAATGAAACCGCGTATACTCTTGCGATCGCATACCAGCAATTCACTAAATTGGCCCACGCTGGCAAACATGAGTTGCCAAAGTATGTGCTCGGCGTTCGTACGGGGACTGGATATTCTCGCCCATTGTTGCTAAAACTTCTGTGGAGGCTTGAGGCCCCTTCGGCGCCAATGTGTAGTTCAGTCTGTTGTTTTGGATGCCTCTTGAGCCAATGTCGGGCAATATTGGTGGCCTCGGTGGACTGCCCGGGCCGTCCAGGAAATCTTGAAGAGCCTGGACGATAGGGAGTCGCCTGGGCTGCCAGCCACCCCCTTCGGGAGGAAGGAGTGGCGTATGCTGCTAAGCGTGAGGAGAAGGAGGGCGGGTCTTTAGGAATATCTGCAAGCACTCAAACGATGGCTGCCGACGTAGGCCGGCTTCCCTCGTATGTGATAATCACACGTGCGCGAGGACCATTGGGAGATTGCGCTTGCCATCCTTCGCCTCATCGTCATCGTCCACCCTCTCCGAATCAACGCTGGAACAAAAGCAAACTAGAACCTCATTCGTTCTCATCCGCCGGCCGACGGCAGTTGCGGGAACGACGAAGACGAGAACGATGACGACATTGTTAGCGACCTGAAAGACATCAAAGACGGCGGCGGCGGCGAAGGCGGCGACGAGGACGACGACGACGACGCCTCGAATTCTCCCTGGGTGCGTCACGGCCAGCACGTCGAGTCGGATTGCGGCCGTGACCGCGAGGGCGCCCCCCCCCGGAGGGCCCAAATATACCCCCCGCGCACATCTTCGAGCTTCGACGACGAGGACAGCGCTCAGAGGTCGCTGGAGGTTTCTGGAGGCCTCCGGAGGCTCACTTGGGCCCCATAACCCATGAAGGCTCGAGGTCTTCAAAACTAATCCCGACCCTCCAGCCCTCGAACGGCAGCGGCGCCGTCGACGGAGACAGCGGCGCCGACGGCGAGTGCGGCAACGACACGGCGCCGACGGCGGCGGCGGCGGCGGCCACGACGGCGTCATGCGTCGACGTCGGCGACGACGGCGGCGGCGGCCGCCGCGGCGGCGAAGACGGCGGCGGCGGCATCGGCTCCGCCAGGAGCGGCGGCGGGTACGGGAGCAGCCGCCACTCGGACTACCCCCCGCGGAGGTGACGCGCTCCACGAGCGCGCGCGGCGCTCGCCGGCCTCCTTCCCTCCAGCCCTCGCCCTGTGTCGCTCGCTGCCTCCGTCGTCGTCGGTCCTTGGCGGCTCTGCGCAGAACGGAGACGCCCCGGGCCCAGGCCGGCACTCCACCTCTGCGATGGGGACGCGGCCCCACGAGGGGCGAGACGAGCGGCTCGCCTCAGCAGGCGTGCCCGTCGCCGTGCGAACTGACGGGCGATCCGAGGCGGCCGCCCATTGGGGTGTCGAGGTCATCTCTCGCAGGTGACTTTTCTCCCCCCAATCCCCGAGTTTCGCGGAAAAGTCTGGCTGCTCAGAAAAAAGGGAAACCTTGGGATACACCCGAAGGGGGCTATTCGGACGCACCACTATCGAGGATGAACGCCCCCCAATCGTATATCCCAGGGTTGGGGCTCAAATTTCTGCTCCATTAGAAAACCCCACGATGTCTGGGATAGGGGTCGACACATGCCCTGCTAATCTCCCCCACTGGGCCCTTCGGTGGGATCTTCTTCGGGCCCCCTGGGGCCCTCGGCTACCCCTCGGCGGCCTTCGTCGGCGGCCCTCGTCGGCGCCTCGGCGGCCCTCGGAGGAGGCCCTCGGCGGCGGCGCGGAGGTGGCCGCCGTCGTCGTCGACTTTTTTTCTGCTGGACGCGTGCTGGGCGGCGCTCTGTCAGAAGAACACGAAAATACGCCTCGAGAGCATTCGATGGTAAGCTTTTCTTCCATGACGCAGTGCCCCCTGCAACGGAGGACTCCCCGACGACAAAGGTAGCGATGGCGAGATGTCTGATGATGTCGGAGCGCCTCTTGTGGGCCTGCCGGTGGTCTCTGGGGTCATCTTGGAGCGGAGGGCTCGACATGCCAGTTCGCTACAAGTGAGTGTTCGAGATGTCTGACAATGCTGGATGGGTGCTTCTGTTGTGCACGGTGCAGCAGTGCCCGCGTGCCCGCGTCGTCCTGCGGGGCGAGCCGCTCCTTCGGACGCTGCGCTGTGCTACTGGACCTCGGCCTCCCGGGAAGGGCGCCTGCACGGCCACGGCCGGGTCCGACCCGCTCCTTGGTGGCCAGGCCGCGCCTCCTGGGATCTTCGTCGTCGCCTTGGGGTTCGAGGATCGTGGTGTCTCCGAGGAAAGGTAACTATATGTTGGTATACACATACAGATGCACATACACACACATGCATGTAAGCAGATGTGTACGTGTATATTCGTACGTATGCATGCGTATAGAGACATTATACATAGAGATGCATATGTGCATCAACATATAGATATATAAGTCAGGGTGCGTGGACGAGCGACGAATCCCGCTTCCATACCAGTTCGACGCGCCGCGTCGCCAAATGCGGCGGCACTGTGGCCATGTTGTTCGATTACCTTGCCTGATCCGTGGATCTGGAGCCGATGCGCCATACCCGCGGATCCCTAATCCATATTAGCGTGAGTTCGAGCGGTGCCAGTGGGCTCTTGATCCTCTCGTAGAGCCCGCGGAAGCCTTAAGGAGGCCTATGGAGTCGTCAGGGGACCTCGGGGCCGCGTTCTTCTCATCTGCCTCGTCTTCTCGCCCCTCGAGTTCCCTTGTTCTTATTTGTCGTGTCGCCCCTCGTGTTCCACGTCTGACTTAGTACACTGCTCGTTCCTTCTCGTGTCCGTCCTCGCATGCAGCTCCATGGTTTTGTTCCTGCTCGTTCACATCAGCCTGGTCCCCATGTCTCTCCCTGTCGCTCCCCCTCTGCTCTTCGGTAGTGACTGGCCGCAGCACTGCTCGCCTGTGCATCGACGATGGCGCGGGAGAGGGGTGCGCGTGTGGCTGTCATCGTTGAAAGCCAGCTGCGCCCGCTGAGCCTTCCGCTCTTGCCGCCTGCCTTCGTCGGTGGCCCTTGCCCCGCCTTGGTCTGGAAGATGCGCGCACAGGCTGAGTTCACGTTTGCCCGCAGGCCCATGCAGACACTCCAAGCGGAGTCCTGCTCATCATGTGTATCTTCTTTCGTCCTGCCTCCACCCCCCATCGTCACAATTGCGTTTCCCCTCCCCGCTCCTCCCCCCTTCCCCCCTGCTTCTCCGTAGCTCCTCCTCTCTGTCCCCGCTCCCTCCTCCCCTACCCACAGGGCCCTCCTCTCCTCGCCCCCGCTCCCTCCCCTCCGCCCGCTCCAGGCTGACGCCCTCCGCCCCCCAGACGTTGGCTTGGGCCTCTGGGCGGCCTGGGCCTCGTTGCAAGCGGATCGGCCCCTGCGACGGGCGACGGCGACGACGGCGACGACGACGACGACGACGACGACGACGAGGACGACGACGACGACGACGAGGACGACGACGGCGACGGCGACGACGACAACGAGGCGCGCGTCGAAGCGCGGCAGGGGCGGTCACGTCACGATTCGCGCTGGCGCCGCCTGGGGATGCCCGAGGATGGCTCGTGTCCAGACGGCGCCAGCGCGAACCATGACGCGGCGAGGGGGGAAGCAGTGGGGGGACGGGGACGGGGCGGGGCTGGTCGCGGGCGTCCCCGCGAATGGCAAGAAATGTGCTCCAGGGCTGGACCTAAACGGTGATTATGGCTATTTCGTGGGCCGTTTTCGTTTCGACTTCGTTTTGTGGTAAAGGCGGATTCGAGACAAAAGCGAGGGAAAATGAAAACAACACGAAGACGAAACACACCGTTTAGGTTTAGCCCTGGTGGGCTCCAGGGGTTCCCCAGCTTGTCGCTACAGTTTTCAAGACCCCCGTGGCCCCACGCGATGGGGTGCTCCTTGGACATTGTGGGGACGCCCTGGGCCAGGCACACTGGCAACGCCCGACCTGGAGGTATATACCCATTGTTCATTTCTAATTCTTCTAAAGTTCATCGATTTTTGGGGGGTCCAAGATCCTTTCAATTCTAATTGTTCTATCCTGGGCCTCTTCCTGGCCACTAGGAGGCCAGGAACAATTAGAAACGAGCACAATTGAACATGAGCACGATTAGAAGTGAACGACGTGTATACCCAGGGACCTCCAGAGGCCCAAAAACGATCGGGGTGCGCAGTGGGGGGGGTTAGCCCAACACGCACGAGCCCAGCGTGAGGCTGATGTTCCCTTCTCCAGGGGCCGTCCGTCGAGGAGGAGAAAGCCACGTAAACATAAACTTGTGGCGCTCCGCGCGGATTTATTGGATCCGCGCCTGGGCCCCCCGGCGGCGCCTCCGGCGCCGCCCCTGGCGCGCTCCGCGCGCCAGGCAGGGGTGTCCAGCGCGAATCCAAGACATCCGCAAAGGAGCGCCAAAAGTGTAAGTTTATGTGGTTGTTATTTTTCGTTTAGTCCAGAGTGAATTTCCCCTATGTCCCACCTTGGGCCCTGCCCCACGCTTGCACGCCCTCCCCAGGAGAGGGCTAGCGCGGTCCAGAGTTCGGCTCGATCCTGGAGCCTCGATCCCTCCTTCCCTCGTCCCTCCATCCCTCCTCCACATCGTCGATGTAGCACCCACCTCCGACGATGCGATGATTTGTTTACGCATGACCCCAGAGGTTTATACCACTTGGACCGTCCTGCCATCCCGTTGTTTTCCGCGTGGCGGCCCAGGGGCCTGTAGAGTCTAGTCCTCATCGAGGGTGTCGGAGTAGATTGTGTCGGCGGATTGTGCCGCATCGCCGATGCACCGGCAATGCAACGCGGCTCGATGTGTTACCTGATTTTATCCGCGCCTCCGTCGCCGATGCATCGCCGATGTCGCCAATGCATCGTCGATGCATCGCCGATGCAGCGGCGATGCAGAGCGATGCTCCGATCCCACCTACTGTGACCCCATCTGGGAGGCCTACATGAAGGGACCACGGAGGTTGCAAACGAGCAGAGATCGCCCGTCGTAGCTTCTCCCCCTCTCCCATCGGAGAACAAGTGCCACGCCACCACCACCCAGGGGCGCCACCTCCAGCGAGGAGGTCCACGAGGTCTCCCCGAGCTCGGGCCTGGGGACGCCCCGAGCGAGCAGGAGGCACCGCACCACCAGGAGGACTCCAGCGAGGAGCTCCGCGAGGTCTCTCCGAGCTGGGGACGCCTCGGGAGCGCCTTGAGCGAGCAGGGGGGACCACACCACCAGGAGGACCTGCCCCGGCTCCCTGCGCTGGAGATGGCAGGTGCTGCGGATGCTCCGTGCCCCTGTCCCTCCTGCTCTTCCCGCTCGCGTCCTGGCCGCCGCCTGCAGCGCCGCCCAGAGCCCCCGCCGCGCCAGCGGCCCCCCCCCCGCGCGGCGGGCCATGCCGGCCGCCGCCGCGCCGCGCGGAGGCCCCGCCTGCGGCGGCGGGCGCCCGGCCTGAGAGGCGGCGGATCCGGTGCAACGCTGGGGGGGAGGCAGGCTCAGGGGGTGGAAAGGCCCAGAAGGGCTTCGGAGTTGGAGGGACTCGACTCGGGCGATCGCAAACACGGCTTAAGGGGGCGTGGATTCGAGACGGGTCCCGTTTCCATGGGAAATTGCGGATTTCCGCCGCCGAACGAGGCGGCACGGGCCGCGGGAGGGCACCTCCCCCGATCCGTGGATTGGGCGACCGCGCGCCAAATCCATGGATCGCTAATCCATGTTTGCGCGCCTCCGATCGACGGTGTCCGTCGGTGCCGCCGCCGCTTGGGCGGCCTCGGTAAGGTGTTCGATCATTGGGAGATGTACGACGACTGATTGCGTTCTCTTCCCCAGACCTCTGACGCCCCGCCGCCCTGGCGCCTTTGCCGGCGCCGCTTGGGCTGCCTCTGCAAGGGCGGGCCGCCACGTTCGGAGGCAGTTCTTCGGTGCGCGATCTGCAGCCCCAGGCACAGAGTTGGGCAATGGCAGCCCGGAACCAGGAGGCACCTGCAGCCGCGCCAGGTACCGGTCAGTTGAACTTGGGGCGCCTGGTCAACAGTCCGGGTGAAAGATTTGGGCTTCGGGGCGGCGGGTCCCTGGGAGGATCCAGAGTTGCCAGCGCGCGGGTCCGTCGTCTCACGATCGGCGTGCCGTAGTCGGGCAAGGCTGAGAGGGAGAGTGGACAGATCCCACTTACCGACGTGCAGTGTTAGCTGTAGGTCGAATTGCAGGAGCCCTGGCAACCAGGACAAATTTGACGCGTGTTCGTACGTACCCACATTTCATGGAGGCTAAAACACCCGAACCCTGATAACACGAACAAGACGTAGCCTCACTGAGGCCCCCGTCTTTGCATCAGGGATAAATGATTATGGGCGGTGTTGCTCGATCCCTCTGCAGAACTCACCCTCTATCCCGAATGTGACTGCACCTCCTAGCTCAGGTCCCCTCCTAAATGGTGAAGGGGTCCTTGTGCTGCTAATCAACATCTGCCCAAGGCAGAACCATGTGCTGGTCCCTGCTGCTTCCGCATGCAGGACCACCGCCCACCCGGAGGGCGGGCAGCGGTGGGGAGGAGGAGGCGCCTGCGAATCGGCAGCGTGCGCGGGGGGACGTCGTGGCACTGTCCTCGCGGAGGGGGCTGGGGAAAGCAGCTCAGATGGGACAGTTCAGGCGATCGCAAACATGGCTTCAAGGGGCGTGGATTAGCGACGGGCCCCGTTTCCTTTCTGGAAATCGTGGATTTCCGCCGCCGAACGAGGCGGCACCGGCCGCATTTTGGGGAGGGCCCCTCCCCCGATCCGTGGCTTTGGCGACCGCGCGCCAAATCCATGGATCGCTAATCCATGCTTGCGCGCCCCCGAAGAGTGGGCCGGTCTCTGGATGCATCGGTGGTGCCATGGATAGGAGGAGAGCCTTAGGGTTCAAGTCGGGCATGTTCCTCTACAGGAGGGATATTCAAATAGTCTGGGGACGATCTTTGAGTCATTTTCGGGCATTTGTGATGTTTTTGTTTCCCCCATTTTGAACTTTTCGTCCAAAATCCGTCCGTAGGTGGACATGCCCGACCAAACCTTAGGGCATGAGCGCCGCAACAGTTGAAGGTATGAGACTAGTGCTGCATCAGGTCTGAAAGTGCTGCTGCCATGGGGCGAGGGATGATATCGGCAGGGAGGTGGGGAAGAACAGAGGAGGCATTGGGAAGGTATCGGAGCGGATGTCACGGCTTCGTGGCTTCAACATCCGGTGACATTTTGCATTAGGCTTGGGATTTGGCGATCTTGGGAACTTCGGCAGGATGGGAAGATCGAGGACGGCAGGGGAGGGAGGTATATGGGGGAGGGCGGGAGGGCGGGACGGGGCAGCGAGGGATGCAGGAGGCAAGGGGCGCCGGGAGCCGGGGAAGTTGCCACCGAGAGCGGGCGAGGGCAGCGTGAGCCTCACAGGTCGGAGCAGAAGCTCGGGGGAGGGGGCGCCGGAAGGGGGGCGCGGGACCCGCGCAGGGGGGAGGACGGGCGCGTGCGCGCGGGGACGGTCGGGCGTTCGTGGGCGTCGGGCCTTCAAAGGAGAGCGCTGGAGACTGCAGGGCACCTGCCCGGACAGCAGGCGAGGAGAAGGAGCAGGGGGGAGGAGAGCAGAGGTGGAGGAGGAATAGGAGGAGCGGCAGCGGCAGCCGTTTCATCGGCAGCAGCAGGGAGACGGTGATGCGACGATGGAGAGGAGGAGACCCCTTTTCCAGTTCCCCTCTTATAGGTCCCTACAAGAAATGATTTTCAGTGCAGGAAGTGCCAGACTGAAATTTCCGATACTACAGCCATAGGAATCCTTGAATCTGCTGCAACCAGTTAAGACGAATGTGCGCTGCGCTGGGCCGAGAACCATGTTTGAACTGTTGCACAGAATGTGCGCGGCGCTAAGGCGAGAGCCACATCATGAAACGGATCCGCCCTTCATCCTTGACGCTGTTGCAGTTTTTAAACAAACAAACAAACAAACAAAAACAATAATCTGCGAGGCGCTAAGGCGAGAGCCACATTTTGAACACGACGTTCTCTCCATCCGTGAATGACCTGTAAGTCTTTTAAGGCGAATGTGCGCGGCGTTAAGGCGATAGCCACATTATGAAACGAGCCG